TTGAGAGAAATGTTTTCCATCCCATGTCTTTTGAAGTCTTCACAGCCATTAAATAGAAATTTCTACCATCAAATACATTCAGAAAAAACTGAGTTAAAGAAAGTTATACTTGTCACTTTGTTGAACCACATCTTTGAGCCTTCTGTTTACAAACATGTGCTGTGAATCTTCAAGACGTATCATACTATGGTTTCCCACGGCCTTCTCTGATTCTGTCCTACAACCTACACAACTTCCCACTGCTGCCCAGTCCAAGCACTTTCATTTCTTTTTTTTTTTTTTAAGATTTTATTTTTTTATTTGAGAAAGAGAGAGAGCACGGTGGGGGGTGGGGGGGGTGCAGACCCCCTGCTGAGCAGGGACCCCCCCCCCTCGTCCCCAATGTGAGGCTCAATTCCCAGGACCCTGAGATCATGACCTGAGCTGAAGGCCCATGCTTAAGGGACTGAGCCACCCAGGTGCCCCAGCACATTTATTTCTAAGAAGTGTATTTGGGGTTATGCTGCAATCAGGAAGATGGCATGGAGATAGAGTGATGTTTTCAGATCCATGCTTCCAGTACTCAGAGGTGGCTTTGAGGATATTAAACTTGAGTAGAACTGGATATAGAGATACTGTTGGGGAGGCTGACACAGTGGATTAAGACACAGACAGAGGGACATATCAACAATATGTAGAAGGCAAAATTAGCATTGAACATACCAATCGTCAAACTATAATTGTTCAGGTAAGATTTCTATGGGCTGCCTATTTATTACTTGTGTTGAAAAGTCAGAGCAGAATCTGTTCTGTGCTTGGCATATCACTAGACATTTGTGCGGTTTTAGAAAACAAGAGAACAGCAGAGGATGATGGAGATGCTTCAAATAAGGCACAATAAAACAAACTCTAATTTATTAGATATTCATTTAAGCTGCATTTTAAACTAGCACAAATTTCTTAGAACTGTGGTCTGTCCACTGTATTACAAATCAAAAATATACTTTTATAACTCAACTTTTACTTCTTGTTTATCAATAAATTCCTTGTCTTGCTATATATATATATTTTGTGTGTGTGTGTGTGTGTGTGTGTGTGTGTGTGTCTTACCTCTCTGGTCCTCCCACAAGATCACATGGTGGTCTTTTAAAAATTATTTTTAGCTCATGAACTATTGGATGAATGGGCAATGATTCCCTCCCATTCACTAGAATTGCTCTCCCAAACTTTGGAGCTGGAGCAGTGGGAGAGTCTCCCATACTAACATGGCAGAGATGTTATTTACATTAATAAGCAAATACACAGCAAATTAATTATTAAATTAATAAGCAAATACACAGCAAATATGCTGACACAGTTCCCACTTGAGGACTTTGAATCATACTTTAAAAATCTTTCTAAGAAGACTCAGATCCCCAAAATTATTAGCTCTGGAAAAAATCCAAATTACAAGGCTTCACATATAAGTAACTCCTGCAAGTGTAAAGGATTTGTTTGAGAAGTGAAATGATAATTGATCAAATGAGCAGAATTTTTTAGCCCCACGGGGTTCAAGGCACCTGACTGAATTTCCCCAAATAGCAGGCAGATGCTCAGATGGGATACTACACATTTCAGGAACGCTTTTGGAATTCATTTGCCCTCTCTGTCTCTAAATTTTGCAGGGTTCCCTACAGTCTGTATTTCTTCCATTTGAATGCAAAGGGGTGACCTCTTACTAATTTTCAAAAGACCTGAAAGGACTCCCTTCACAGTGTATTTTAAAACATGAAAAAAATTGAAAAGAGCCCAGGAGGAGTTGACAGAGAGCTGAGCTTTGGCCCTAGTTCAGTCAATAATTAGCAGGTAACCTGAAGAGGCACCTAGGCTCAGACTCTGTTGCACTGTATTTTCCCTCCCACAGCCCTGGGTTCTCTCAAAAGAAAAAGGAAAGGATGTTTGGAAAATGCAATAGGCCTTATGCAGATGTAAGGTCTTTTCATGATAATTTCTTGAATGATTGAAATTCCTTTTCCTGTTCACCAACCACTTCCTAGTTCTCAAATTCAATGCACAGCTTTTGGTTCTTAATTTACTTGAACTTTCTATGACATGTGCTATCACAGAGCATTTCCTCTTCTTGAAATGTTTTCCTTCACTCTCTCCTCTACCTTTTCCTGGTTTACTTCCCAGCTCTCTGATTATTTTTTCAGGATTTTTCTTTCTCAGCTCCCCTAAAACACAGGTGTCTATAACATTCCATCCTTAGAGTTAATGACCTCATCTCTTCCCATAACTCCAGCCAGAGCTCTCCCTTAAATTCCAGCTCACATTTTCAGAGTACCTGGAGGATATTTCAAACTGGATATCAGTTTCCCAGAATCTTAACTACAATACTTTCAAAGATAAACTTACTGTAGCATTCTCTCCCCCCCCACCGCCCCATCCCACCACCTTCATCCTCAAACAGAAGTTACTACATTAGTGATATAGTTACATCATGTTTAGTGCACATCCTGAAAATAGTAGTCATCTCTTCCATTCTTCGTATCCAATTAATTTCTAAGTCTTCCTAAGTACTTCTCAGAGCAGGCTTTCCCTTTTCTTTCCTGGTGCATTTGCCTTAGGACAGCCCTTCAATATCTCTGATATTGGGAAGATTCTAAATTGGGTGTGTGCTACTATTTAAAATAGCCTTCTAAATGGTTATAGTCTCTCTCTCTCTCCAGTCTCAGTGTAATTCCTTTGAATATTCCCCATTCCTACAGAGTTTTCTTCATGGCATAGTATTATGAACACATCACACTTTTGTTTAAAATCCTTTAACAGTTTAACTCCTCTTAAACATTCATTTATTAACATGATACAGAAAAGGTTTTTCATTATATAAACTCCACTTACCTTTCCAGTCTTACGTTCCTCCAATCTAAATAAATTTATATAGAGATCCCTAAGAGTTTGCACTTGCCTGTGAATTTTTCTGTGCTCTTCCTTTTGCCTAAAATGTCTTTTCCCATGTTATCTTCCCAGTGAACTCTTACACATCTTTCAAGATTCTGGTAGCACTTCCCCTTTGGAATGGTCCCTGACCAGACACTAAGGCATCCTCACCCCTAGGCTCATGCCAATCTGTGTATGAATCTTTATCACAGCACTTCTTATAGTGTCCTGGGAAGGATCTCACGCCTTGAGTTCCTTGAGGGAAAATACTATACACCCCATCTTGATATCTGCAGCTCTTGAAATAGTACCTGGCTTATGGCAGGTTCTCAATGAACATTTGCTGAGTTGATGAGATAGATAGTAGGAAGAACTAAAGAATCTGAATTGAGTCATCTGGACCGGTGCTGCTTATAATTATTCGTGTCCTTTTGACGAAGTTTCTTTGGCTTTCAGTTCCTTTAATCTATTTCCCAAATGAGGAAGTAGAGCTAGATTTTCTGTAAGGCCTCCTCCAGCTTTTTTCGTTTTTTTTTTTTTTTTTTTTATACTCTATAGTTGAAACTATTGCCTTATAGAAGCTGAAATACTTTATCTGATCAAATAATGCTTCATAAAAGTTTAAGAATGTTGAAAAAAGGGATTTCACATAAAAATCTGAATTTCCGAAAGTCTGCAATCAGTGCTAACTGAATCATGCTGCCTTTATTTTATTTTTTTTTAAGATTTTATTTATTTATTCAGGAGAGACACAGAGAGAAAGGGCAGCAGACACAGGCAGAGGGAGAAGCAGGCTCCATGCAGGGAGTCTGATGCGGGACTCAATCCCAGGTCTCCAGGATCATACCCTGGGTGGTGCCAAACCGCTGAGCCACCCAGGCTGTCCTCATGTTTCCTATAGAAGGGATGAATTTCTTCTGCTTGGCCAGCAGACCTACTCTATTGCCGCCTTTTTAGAAGCAGAATAAAGGTGGCTGTCTGTTAAAACACTTGTACTGCGGTTTACTTCAGGAAAGATGTGAAATAGGAAATATTTCTGGTTCCCTTTTTTTCTGTTAAAAACAGAACAATCAAAAATAAACTGAGAGACCCTTGTGTTTCTTATTCCTGTCTGACCTCAGTCTCTTAGGCACATATGTATGTACACTACTCAACAACCCGGAGTTGGCTCGGATGGTACCAACTCAAGGCATTTCGTCTTGATTTTTTTCACCTAAGTGCATCCGGACATTTCATGTCCTGATGATCCTTTCAGAATAATAGTGTTGCCTTAATACAGGCAAAGGCCAACCCATTCCATCTTCTAATTAATTTGCTGAGTATTTATTTCACCCAAGGCAGCTGATGCATTTATCTGACAATCACATTATGCCTTAATAGTCACCAGCAGAACATTGTCTGCTTTTTCCAAACCCTGCTGCGACCACACGCTACCCTTCAAGGATGCGTGGAACGACGTGCACGCGCTAGAAAACTAGCCTACCGGGATCCCTGGGTGGCGCAGCGGTTTGGCGCCTGCCTCTGGCCCAGGGCGCGATCCTGGAGACCCGGGATCGAGTCCCACGTCGGGCTCCGGTGCATGGAGCCTGCTTCTCCCTCTGCCTGTGTCTCTGCCTCTCTCTCTCTCTCTCTCTGTATGACTATCGTAAATAAATAAAAAAATTAAAAAAAAAAAAAAAAAAAGAAAACTAGCCTACTAAATGGGCGCACGAAGGTGACCCTTGGCTCAGGCTGGCTCTGTTCCTGCGAGCACTGAGCACTGCGTATTTGCGTTGGCACTTTGTAGCGGAGCTGCGAGCAGGGACGGGCTGGCAGGCCCTGGGGGCAGGCTGAGGACGTGAGCCTAGGGGACCGCCGTGGCCCCGTGAGGACGGCTGCTCTCCATTCCGTCCTCCTGGCTCTCGCCGTCTGTGAGTCTAGGCCTCAAAAAACACCTCCTCTGCGATTTTTTTGGTCCCCCGCCCCCATTCCTTAGCCCGGACTCGGAGGGGGCGGGGCAGGATGGCCGTCACTCAACCCCATTGGCCAACGGGAGGGGGACGAGCCCCTCCTCCTTCCCAGAGCCGCGTCGCGGGCATGCGCAGTGGGCGTCCCCGTGCCACCGCCCATCCGCTGAGCCCCGCAGCTGGGGGCTCGGGTGCCGGTGGGTGCGGCTGGCCCGAGGAGGAGGAGGAGGAGGAGGAGGAGGAGGAGGGCGCGGAGGAGCCGGGTAAGGGCAGCTTGGGGGGCGGGGGGTCCGATCCCGCGTTCTGGAGGCACCAAGTCCCCGCGGCTGCCGCGCCTCCCGGTTTGTGCGCGTTGTCAGCTGTGGCCGCCGCCTTACGCTTTGCGGCTGTGGTCGGGAGCCCGGGGGGCGGGCGCTGCCCAAACCGGGGACATCCCGCCGGCCCCGCCGATCCCGCCCCGGCCGAGCCCGCCGGTCCCGCCGATCCCGCCCCGGCCGATCCCGCCCGGCGGATCCCGCCCTGCGGATCCCGCCCCTGCGGATCCCGCCGATCCCGCCCCGGCCGGCCCCGCGGCAGCGCTGGCTCCGGAGCCCCGGCGGGTTGCGCGCCCCCGGGCGGGGCGGGCCGGGGCGGAGCTCGGGGACCCTCAGCTCTTCCTCCTTACGACGCGCCGAGTCAGAAAACACGTTTTGAAGTTCTCTCCCCTGCCACGGAGGACCTGGGCGGGCGGCTGCAGCGGCGCACGGAGGCTCCTCGGGGGTGGCTTTCGGTCGGGCCCGAAGACTCCTGACTTTGTTTGATCTCCGTGGACGGCATGAATGATTTGCCCAAAACCTTCAACGATGTATGAAGCATCTCAAGATCCGCCTGTCCCCCCTTACTGTGTTTTAGGCTGTTGCTTTTTAAGAATTCAGACACAAAGAAAAATTCCTTTCTGGTCGAATGCCGTACTTTTTCCTCTCAAGTGCCGTGTATCTGCTTGGCCTTCCTATGGACACGTTGATTTTTGTTTGACTTAGAGCAGCGTATTTTGACTATGACTATATGTGATTTAAGACTTTCGCAGAATCTGGAAGAAAATGATCACGAAGGGCGCTGCTGTCCCGCAGTGTCGCGGGTGGACGTTTCCCGGGAGCTTCGCCTGGCCCGGCCCGGCCCGGCCCGGTGCGGCCCGGTGCGGCCGCCTTGCCTTGAAGGCCGCTTTGGGAAGTTTGTCGCAGACGGTGACTAGTTAAGAATTATGGTCTAGTTTCAGACTTTCCGTAGATGTTAGAATGATACCATAGTACCTCTTAATGTCTGCATCGTTTTTCTTCAGATATTTTACTTCTGCTGCTCCCAGTGGTAGAGTTATATCCTCATTTTAGTTAGGATCTCAAACTTTAGCCAAGATCTAAGGATGGAAAAATAAATATATAAAACATCCGCAGTAAGTCTGAGTAAAGTTTGCTGTGATTCCATTTGATTTTAAAGTTTAGTGTATGGAAGCGTGAAAAATAGCCCTTGGTATTGTGAGTAAAACCAAATAGTATAAGAATTTAACAGGTGGGGATGCTGAGCTAAAGAATTCAGTTAATTTGGTTTAGGTAGAGAACACTCATGTCTATCATGGAATGATCGTCTTCCCATTCATGGAACATCTACTACGCGCCTTATACTGTGGATTTTGCAAGGTTGACAAGGTTGTCTTGTGTTTATATCACCAAAGTAGGAATAGAAGGCAGTTTACTACCTAGATCATTTTAGAGTGGTGAGTAGCACGATGATAAAGGAAGTTAGATCAGCACAGAGTGCCGGGGTGCTGACTTCTCATTGCAGATCCGAAGTCACCAAAGACTTACCTAGCATGCGATGAGACTTTGCTGGTATAAAGGTGCCAGTCATGTGAAGATCATGGGAAGAGCCTTCCAGGGATAGGAAATGGCACTCAGCAAAGGCCCTAAGGCAAGAATAAGCCCAGTACATTTAGGATCTGAAAGAAGACACTGGAATGTAGTGTCTGAGGATTGGTAATATTTATTCTCAGACTAGGTTTGTGTTCTTAGGAAATAGAAACATTTATTCATTCAGTCTTCAGATATTTATTAAACACCTATTATATAACCCGGTACTTAGACTAGTGTAGCACACAGACAAAACCTTGCTCTTCTGGGTACTTATATTTTGGGGTAAGGGGTAGAGCTAAGTCCATTGTTTTATGCCAGTACACACTATTAAGAAGGTGAAACTGACTATTTCTATTGCTCTATCCATGCTTGATTTATACAGCATGAGATTTATGTTTAATGAGAGTCTTAGGATTCTGCAGTGTGTACAGTAGTAGTACCTGGGAGTAGTGCTTGACACTTAACTTTTCACAGTTTTCTTTGTTCTTTTATTTGTGCTCTACAGAAAGTCTTGAGAATATCCTCGTTATGAGTATTGTCCTTTGTTTTTTTTGTTTTGTTTTGTTTTGTTTTTTATGATAGTCACACACACACACACAGAGAGAGGCAGAGACACAGGCAGAGGGAGAAGCAGGCTCCATGCACCGGGAGCCCGACGTGGGATTCGATCCCGGGACGTGGGATTCGATCCCGGGTCTCCAGGATCGCGCCCTGGGCCAAAGGCAGGCGCTAAACCGCTGCGCCACCCAGGGATCCCCGAGTATTGCCCTTTGATCCTCTCTTTCCTTCTTTCCCTTTACGGTGCTTATATATTTTCATAGAAAGGTAATTGTTAAGATGTCTACATAAGCACTATTCAGTAGAACTTTATGCTGTGATGGAAATGTTTTACATGAACTATACAAATCATTGGCTTCACATGTGATACTTGAATACTTGTTAGAGCAGGTATGGATAATGAGTTATGTTATTCTGAACAATAAAACTAGGAATTCTGAATGAGCTTTCAAAAATATTCGTCAAGAGTGCTTAAAGCTTGTTATATCTGGGCTAGGTGCTGGAGACTGGTGTGGACAGCAGCTATCAGAATAATTTGGTTTATTCTGGTCTATATGCAAAGATTATAAACTTTTAAGTCATTTTATAGTTAGCTGTAACTGTAGTGTATCTGTGTATATGTTTTTGCAGTAAAGTCAGTCATTTGACTCCTTTTTTTTCATATTTCATCAAAAGGGCCAACCATTGTTGTCGCCTAGATAGGACTATTAGAATAAGAAAGAAAAGGACTAAACTACTCAGCTGTGTTGTTACCTTGATCTCGAGTAGCTACCCCAGCTCTGTTCCTCATCCTAAGAGCAGAGTCTGCAGAAATGTGGTAAATTAGTTTTTTTTTTAATTGAGTGGGTTCATTGTCCTGAATTTTTGTTATACAATGAAGCAATATGTTTTAGTTTTTTAAAAATATAGGCTGTAAGATACTATGTTTCAAATTTTAGCTCTTATTTATTTTTTTTTTAATTTTTTAATTTATTTATGATAGTCACACACACACACAGAGAGAGAGAGAGAGGCAGAGGCAGAGACATAGGCAGAGGGAGAAGCAGGCCCCATGCACCGGGAGCCCGACGTGGGACTCGATCCCGGGTCTCCAGGATCGCGCCCTGGGCCAAAGGCAGGCGCCAAACCGCTGCGCCACCCAGGGATCCCTATTTTAGCTCTTAGATTAAGCAAGTTACTTATTCTTGTTATGCCTCAGTTTTTTAGGTGACTGCATAGAAAACTGCCCAACCTGCCAACATCTGATGAAATTAGTGAATAAGCAAATCAACTATGTCTTACACTGTGGGAGTTGGTGGTGACCCTGCTCTACTGGCCCAGCGGATCTCTTCTAACATCCAGAAGATCACACAATGTTGTAAGTTGAAATTTAAGTTGACTTCACTGCTTTCAATTCTTTTTTTTTTTTTTAATTTTTTATTCATGAGAGACACAGAAAGAGAGAGAGGGGGGCAGAGACATAGGCAGAGGGAGAAGTAGGCTCCCTGTGGGGAGCCTGATGTGGGACTTAATCATAGGACCCCAGGATCACACCCTGAGCCCAAGGCAGACGCTCAACCACTGAGCCTCCCAGATGCCCCCAGTTTTCAATTCTTAACTGAACTTAGGGGTTCGTAGTAGGACAACTCCAATGACAAAGAGAAGGAGGAGAAATCCTCTAAAAGCAGATTTTAGAAGGCTAGAAGTCTTAAAATTAAAAAAAAAATTAAAAAAAGACCAGAACTCTTGGAATGAATATAAAAGATAATTATGTTAGAAGAGATAACACTTATTACATTTTTCTGTAGAGTGCCAGGCACATAATACACTATTTTATTAATGAAATAAAGATTTAAAAGGATAGATATTTATATTTGCTTTAAAACCATCTGATTCTGCATGAGATTAAAGAGACCTGTTGACCAAATCCCATTAGGATTGGAACTGGGGAACACTGGAAGTTTACATTTATTAAAAAAATAAAGTTTTGTAAAGGGAAAATACGTGGTTCTTTATTAAGAAGCAGGGCATAACTAACAAAGCAACATTTTAATCTGTTGAGACAGATCTAGAAGAGAATTCTCAGAGTTCCACAAACCACCTGTGCTACACCTATCAAAAACAATCCTGGTAGACCAGTCCCATGTAGTATTTTATTGGAACTTATTACTCCTTGGGAGATACATATATATATATATATATATTATTTAGAAGATCACTCTAGTAGATTGGAGCCTATAGATTTTTTTGTTTTACATTTTGTTTCTGATTCATAGCTAATTACATACGTGTATTATTGTAGTCACTTTGTGGTTGATCAATGTTTTGGCCCTTTGGGCATTACCTGAACTCTATTTTATGTTAATACAGCATTATTCTTTAGCTTAGTTTGTTAAGTCTACTGTTCTCTTTCCCAGAATGTGTTAACACACTGTGAAAATAAAGAATGTTTTCAGATGGCCAAACCATGTTTTCTTATCTAATCATTAACTTCCCAGAAGTTACTGTTCTACCCAAACGATTTCAGTGAGATGTCAGCATGTTTTCGAGGCAAAAGGAGTAAAAGTGGATTATAGAGGGTTCTAAAAAAAGTGCTGCTGTGCACAGTGATATAATAAAAAAGCCAAAGGAAAAAAAATTTTTTTTTCTTTGTTAGAAATAGTGCTGGTGAAAAGAAAAGAAAAAAGAAAAGAAAAGAAGAGAAAAAAATAGTGCTGGTCTGCCTCAGGCTAATGTGTGAAAATTCAGAGAGGTTATAATTTTATTTTACATTTGTGGAAAAATCAGGACCTAAAATCCTTAGGTAAGAGAGGAGGCCAGGAAGCCTTCCTCCAGAGGACAGGGCAGATCTTTTGTGTTGGGAAAGGTAAATGTGTTCGGAATTCTGGGAAGAGGAGGAGGAATGAGCCTCTGAGATTAGAGAGGCTTTAAGCATCCAGTGGTATGAAAGATACACAGATTTGAGATGATGTGTGAGCTTGAACTGGAAGAAGGTAAGAGTTAAGTCATGTCCCCTGAGAAAGAGATCATATGATCCAACTAGATGAGAAGTGATACCTTGGGCCAGAGTAGCATATTCATGGCATAACTGATAACTACGTATGTGACTGTACTGTGTGATTCAGGGCAGCTTTGGATTGTCGGGTAGGGTAGTGATAAGACCCACAACTCTGCCTTGTGAAAAGGGGTTAAGAAGACTAGGACCATTTACCTGTGAGAAGCCATAGTCCCCACCTTCAGATATTTGAAGCACTGTCCTGTATAAAATACAAGAAAAGTGTTCTGCATGGTCATGAAGGCTTCCACAAATGAATAGAAGCAAACAGTAGCCAGACTTCAGCTCCAGAAGGAGTTGGGCTTTTGAATAATCCTAGTTATTCAAGGATGGAATTGGCATGCCCCAGAGAAGTGCAGTCCTTGTTACTAAGTGACCAGCATATGGTGGTCAGATACTATTTTTCAGGTCTGTTTAGTAAGAGGTTTAAACACTGGAGTAATGGTGCAGACTGAATGACTTGTAATTATGATATTCTCTCTCTTTTCATTTAGCAAATAATTTATTGAGCACCTGCTACTCACTAATCATGGTACCAGACCTTAGGAATCCAGCAGTAAGCAAGATCCCCACAGCCCTGTTCTCCTGTAGTTTATAATGTAAGAAGAAACAGATGATTTAAAAAAAAAAAAAAAAAAAAGGAAATGGAGCTAGAGGATGGGGTAACGGGGTGATGGGCATTGAGGAAGGCACATGATGTAAAGAGCACTGGGTGTGATATGCAATTGATGAATCACTGAACTCTACTTCTGAAACTAATAATACACTATATGTTAATTAATTGAATTTAAATAAAAAATTTTAAAAAGGAAAAAATTAATCACACGTGTCCTATGATGAAAATGAGAGAGCTGTGATAGCAGGTGCCTGAGGGGGAAGCTGCCTTAGTGGAGTTGGTCCCCTGTGTGAGGATGAGAAGGGGCTGGCAGTGGAAGATGGAGGACAAGAGCATTTAGAAGGGGCCAATAGCTAGTATTATAACCCTGAAGCAATCCAGAGTGTGCGGTGTTCAGAAAATAGCAAAGAAAGAGAATCCCAGTGTGGCTGAAACACAGCACTTAGAGGCAAGAGTGGATGGAGATGAAATCAGAGAGGAAGCCAAGCAGGCCACCCCAAGCCTTGGAGGCCATCAAGGGAGTTTAGATTTCATTCTAAGAAGTAAGATACACAATCAGATTGGTGCTTTGAAAAGATTGCTTTGGCTGCTACTGCTTAGAAAGTAGACTTTGGGGAATTCGAGATGGGGGCACGTTGGCCATTGTAGGGGTCTGATGAGAGAGATGTTGGCTTGTACCAGCATAGTGGCAGTGGGGACAGGTGATGTCTGTACATGACGGATGTTCTTTGGAGGCAAAGGCAGCTAGGCTTGCTGATGAATGTGGGTGGATTGAGAGAGAAAGAGGGGAGTCCAGGGTGACTCCATGGTTTTTGCATTGAGCAACCAAGTGGATGGTGGTAAGTATATACTTAAGTGGGAAGGACTATAGTTCAGAAGCAGAGAGAATTTTGTTTTGGCCAAGTAAAGTTTGAGATGTCTTTTAAGCATCTAAGTAGAGATGTCAAACATCTAGTTTAAATATACCAATTTGGTGGTTCACCTGGGTGGCTCAGTGGTTGAACGTCTGCCTTCGGCCCAGAGCGTGATCCTGGGGTCCTGGCATTGAGTCCCGCATTGGGCTCCTGCATGGAGCCTGTTTCTCTCTCTGCCTGTGTCTCTGCCTCTCTTTCTGTCTCTCATGAATAAATAAAGTCTTTTAAATAAATAAGTAAACAAATTTGGAGTTCAGAGTGTCATCAGAGAGTAAATAGTATTTGAAACCATAGGTCTAAAATAATCAAAGGTATAAGAGCAGAGAGCTGGAGCATTAAAAAATGTAGAAATCAGGAAGACAGGGAGAAAGCACAAAGAGAGTGACCAGTAAGGCAAGAAGAAAATTAAGAGATGTTGGATTTCCAGAAATTAAAAACAAGGTGTCTCAAGACTGAGTGAGACATCATTTGTGTCTGATGCCGCCAAGAGACTAAAAAGCAGAGAACTGGATCATGCAAACCGGTGACTTTGAAAAGAATATTCATGTCCTGAGTGTAGATGGGGAAAAGGACTGACCCTTTATTTATTTATTTATTTATTTATTTATTTATTTATTTATTTATTTATTTATAATAGTCACAGAGAGAGAGAGAGAGAGAGAGAGAGAGAGAGAGAGAGAGAGAGAGGCGCAGAGACATAGGCAGAGGGAGAAGCAGGCTCCATGCACCGGGAGCCCGACGTGGGATTCGATCCCGGGTCTCCAGGATCGCGCCCTGGGCCAAAGGCAGGCGCCAAACCGCTGCACCACCCAGGGATCCCAGGACTGACCCTTTTACAACGAAAGAGACTGCCTGGAATCCCACTCACTCCTGCTTGTATTATTGACCAGAGTTTGCATTTAGTTACATGGCTATACTTAGCTACTAAGGAGGCTGGCTTGCACTGTGCTCACTAAAATTGGGGATTGCTCCATTTAAGAAGGGAAAAATCAGTATGTGGCAGGCAACTGAGAGGTTCCACTATTGAAGTAGAAGGAGGGTCAAAGAAAAGATTGCATTTTTCCACTACAAAAGACAGAGTCCAGTGAGAGTATAATTGCAAAAGAAAGGTCTCTGAAGGTGAGAGGGGGAGGGGAACGGTTTGCCTTTCGTCCCTGGATGGAGCCCAGGTGGAGTGTGGTATGGACAGTAAACTGGTAGACAAAGATGGGGGCATTCCTGTCAGAGGGGGCTGGCTTTAAATGAGATAGGAAGCAAGGGCATTGGACAGAGGAATGGGGGAGGCTGTAGGAAGTGTACTGAAAGAAGAGAAAGTGATTAGTTGTAGTTTTGACTGGAGAAGTTTGACGTGCCTCAGAAGTCATGAATGGATGTTTGGCAGGTTGAGTACTCATTGGAAATTTGGGGTCATGAATTTAGTGAAACCAATTATCACTATTTTTTTCTAATTCTGAGATTGAGCAACTGAATAAAGGGAAATTTAGATTAGGTAGAGGTAGTTGCTGTTAAAGATCTAACTTACCTCCCGTGAGCATCACCGGTACGGATGTGAAGAAACGTGGAAGTGAAAAGGCAGAAGTGTGAAATTTCAGTTCATTTTTTCCCACCTGGTAATGCTATTAATACTGACTGTGATCGAATGACATGGTACTTGCACCACATTCAGGTGTTTCTCTGGACACTACATCTGCATCCTTTGAATTTGGGTCGGTGCAAGTGAGCTAGTTGTACAGAAGAGACCCAAAGAGAAAATACTCTGAGAAGGATAATGCCCCTGTCGTTAGAATACGTGC